AGACAGGGCACACAGTGCCCCCTGGGATAGGGGACACAGTCCCCCCCCACAGGCCGGGCACATAGCCCCCTCCCTGGGCAGGGTGCATGGTGACGCCCAGGCAGGGGTGCACAGTCCCACCAAAATCGCCTGGAGCGCTGGGGAGGAGCCCAGGGAGTCCATTTCCCTGGAGAAAAAGAGGGCCCTGGGAGTTTGGGACTGCCAGAGCCCCCCACACCCCTTGCTGCAGAGCTGAGCGGGGTCATCGACTTTTACCCCATAGGGGCCATAGGTAAGGCGACGAGAGGCACGGGGCAGATGGGGCAGAGCCCGCTCCCGGGCACCCTCTCGGGGGGCCTGGGGCTGGAGCCCCGGGGCACAGCCAGGCTGTCCCACTCAGCCCCGTTCCCGCAAGGGAGGCCCTGGCCGTCAGCCCCACAGAGACCCATGGGGCCCAGGGAGCCCCCAGCATCCCCCAGCTGCCCTGGGGGCTCTGCCCCATAGGGGAGGCCAGTCCCCAGCTCTGGGCTCTGCATCCTGGCCGGGGCACTTGCCCTGAGCACCAAGGGGCTGCTGGCGCTGTGGGGAAAGCAGCAGAAGAGCTGCTGCTGGACTCCGGAGAGCAGCTATTAATACTGACGAATTAGGCACATATTTGGACCCTGCCCTGGGCTAAGGTCTTCAAGGATGGGGAGCCCCGTCCCTGCCTCACTCCAGGGTCCCACGCGCCTCCCCCAGGGGTCCCGGGGGGGAACCAGCCGCACCAGCGGCAGAGCCCTGCAGCCCCACGTTCCCCCGCCAAGTGGCAGCAGAAGAGGCAGCACTCCGGGTTCCCTGGGAACACATGGCCTCCAGCTTGGCCTTGGTCCCGGCCAGTCCTGTCCCTCTCCCAGCCCGACGCCTGGGTGCCAAGAGCGCTCCCAGGCCGGTGCATGGGGCCCAGAGCAGAAACAGGGATCCCCAGCAGCAATGGGGTAGGGGCGGGGCGGATGCAGGCAGGCAGGGGACAGGTTGGGGGGACAGCCACCCTGGTCCTGCGGTGGCCAGGCTGGGTGCCTCCTGCTCTGGCCCCACCCAGGGATGCAGTCACTTCCCAGCAGAGCCCCGTTCCCTCCCACTGGCTCGGGGAATCGCCAAATAAGAGCAAAGTCTCGGCCGGGGAGAGCAACCGGGGCGGGAACTTGGGTGAAGCTTTTGGGATCGCGGCCTGAGAACGGCAGAGTTTCCCTGGGCCGTGCTGGGGTGGCCGGGGAGAGGCCACAAGCTGGGGACCCGGGGGGCTGGAGGGGGCGGCTCTGGCTAAACCCGCTGTCCTGGCTGCACCGTGCCCAGCAGCCCCTGCCCGCACCCTGCCCTGGGCACCACGGGCTGACCCTCCTGGGGACGAGAGGTGGTGGGGCCACGGTGGCCTCGCAGAGCTGCTGGGAAGGGGCCACCAGCAGCGTGGAGCTGCCGATCGGGGGGGCAGGCGCTACCCAGTCTGTGCCACCATCTGATGCCCCTCCAAGCGCCCAGGGGGTCGCTTTGCACCCCTTAGTGCAGTCCCTGAGGGCTTCGTGTGCTGCCACCCAATGCTGGAAGCAGGGCAATGCCAGAGCAGGAGGAGATTCAGGCTTTCAAGGCATTTGTTGACATTTTTGTGGAGAGCTGGAGCCTGCCTGGATCGCCATGATGGGCCCTGAGCTCGCTGAGGGACGCTCCGTGCTCACAGGCACACACGCTGTTGTGGCAGCAAGGGGGGCACGGGGGTCCCCGGGGAGGCAGCCAGGTGGGCTCCAGGGGTCTCCCCTGTGCTTCCTTCGCTGGAGCCAGGAGCTGCGCTGCGCCTTGCCCCCGGGAGGAGGTGACACCAGGCCTGGCACTTAGCGCTGTCAGCATGTTCAGGTCCCTGGCGCGGGGACCTGGTGACTCCCAGAGCCCCGCATGCGGCGCAGCCTGTCCAGCCTTCGGCATGGACCCGGTGTGGCTGCACTGGTGACGGGCTCCCAGCCCTGCCCACGGCAGCCCCTGCAGCCAGCCTGCCCTCCCTGATGTTGCTCCCTCCCCATGCCTCCCCGCCAACCCTTCCCTGGAGGGATCAGTAGCTTCCGTCCCCGGTATCTGCTGGGACAGGACTCTCCGTGCCGAAGCCCGCAGGCTGGCCGGGGCACTGTGGAACGAGCGCGGAGGGGACACGCACCCTCCCTACCCTGGACGGCATCACACAGCTCGCTGCCAGCAGCAAACCACTCTGCGCTCCATGGCCAACGTCTGCCTAGTGCCACCGTTTGCCCCCTCCTCTGAGCCCCGCACCGGGGACGTTCCGTCTATGCTCAGACAGACCCCACACTGAGTTTGCCCTGTCCCGCACCAGCATGGATCCAGTCAGACCAGTACGGACCCCACTGCACACAGTGGCCACCCTACACAGCTCAACATGCCTGCCCCTGTGCCAGAATAAATGTGCCCTTCCAGAGGATTTTCAACATTTTAAGTACTTGGTTTAGTATCTAACTAAACCGGGGCAGGTCCGTAGGGTCAGCAAGCAGTGCTGGGGAGCACCCCAGCTGCTCCCCAGGGGCTCCGGGCCGCCCCAGGGACTGGTGCTGCCACTGCTCGTCCTTGCCTGCTCACCCCTGCCCTTGGCGGCCTCCTCAGAGATTTGACGCATCTCCCCCATTTAGCTCCATAAACCAGCTGGGATTGGATTTTTTGTTCTCAATCCTAAAAAGCCTGGCTGTGCCCTGCTGGCCGTGCTCCAGCCGGCTCCCCTTTAGCTTCTCCTCCAGTTTCCAGGGTTGGTTTTCATCAAAGAAGGACTGGCTATCAAAAGGAGGATTTATTTATAGGGTGTCAAATACCCTGTGTGGCACCGCAGGTCGTTATACCCCGTTCCTGAGCGGCTCCGTGGCCGCACACAGCTGTTCCACCCTTCATCCTGGCCGGGCACAAGCCAATTTCAACACCTTCCTAACATCTCCCTGTCGGGATCCATTTCCCAGGAGAAACATCAGTCACAGCCCTAAATAAAACTCTTCCTGGCCTTGCCCTTCCTAGGGTACAGGGTGGCACACTGGAACCCAAAATGACCGAGTCCTCCCCACACACCCCGAGCATCCTTCCTTGCAGCCAGCGCTCGGCAGCTGGCCATGGGCAAGAGATTTTTCCATTTATCTGCTCTTTTTCACTTTCCTGCCACAGTATAGCAAGTGCCACAGGGTTTTTCCTACAAGCACTGCGGAGGCGCATGCCTGGGGACCGGTGACACAGCTCAGGACACTCGTCCCCATTAGCTTTGGGGAGCCAGGCAGGTGGCTGCCCGCAAAGCTCCAGGCAGGACCGGCCGCCCAAGCGGTGCCCACCACCGCTGGCCTGGCCCCCCCAACCCGAGCAGGACCCATACGGTCCCTGCCCTGCATCTCAGCCAAGTTCAGTGTCAGTGTCGCAGGAATGGGATCCTGACAGTCTTCCCCACGGACGCTTTCCATATAAGGCCCCCCTCTTCCTTCACCCACCCCCCCCGCCCTGAGGTCTGGTGCCCGTGCAGGGGAGGAGTTGCTGGCGCGCCTACATACGTCTGTAGCCTTCTTCTCCGCCTGTTCCAGCTTCTCCTGGGCCTCCTTGACAGACTCGGAGTACTTCTCCACCTCATCCTCCGTGCCCTTCAACTTCTTCTGCAGGCCCTGCTGTTCTTCCTCCAGCTGGGGAAGGGATGGAGGGTGGGGGTCAGGGGGGGATGGCAGTACCCACAAGGCTGGGGAGAGACAGCCATCCTCCTCCTGGGTGACACCCAGGCTGGGGGTACAGCAGGAGCACACGGACATGCTCCATCTGTCAGCTTTGGGGACACAAAGCCTCAGGGAGCCCTTGGTCCTCAGGGCCAGAGCAGCCCCCAACATCCCTGAGCCTGGTGGGAGTAAGGGGGTGGTGAGTGCCCTCCATGTGTAGGGGACTGGAGAGGTCCCAACTTGGGGACACAGCTCTGGGGGGCACTGAGGAGGTCCCCATCTCCATGTGGCTGGGGTGGGAGGAGCCTGTCCCCCAGGGTCCCCCTGGCAGAGGGATAGGGAGGTGGCACTGGGGTGTCCCACCAAGATAAGGAATGTTTGAGGTGACCAGTGTGAGTGGTCAGGGGCAACAGGATGGCCTGCTGGTCCCTGGGGACAGGCACCCAGCGGGGTGAGGTCTCTGGAGATGGGGACCCAACGGGGTGAGGTCTGAAGGGCTGGGCACCCCTAGAGCTGGGATTTGCAAGCTGGACACCAGCAGGACGGGGTCCCCAGGCTGGACACTCATCGGGACGGGGTCCCCGGGGCTGGAAACCCTTAAAGCGGGGGTCCCCAGGCAGGGTCAGGGGGGCCGTGGGACACCCACCTGCTTGCAGCGGTCCTCCGCCTGCTTCTTGTCAGCCTCCGCCTGCTCGGCGCGGTCGATGGCGTTCTCCTTGTCCAGTTTCAGCATCTGCATCTTCTTCTTGATGGCTTCCATGGTGGCGGCGGGGCGGCGGCGGGGCGCG